GTCCCACCGCTGTACCCTGATGAGATGGTTGCAGGGTTGAGAGGCAGCAATGGCAGGCAAGATCCTTGAGCCAGACTCTGATCACAGTTATGACGGAGTAAATTTAGGGTAATTTAGGAGTGAAAGGAATTGCAGTGATTTAAACGAGTGTGAGAAGAGACTTGTGATCCTAATGCTGTGGCAAACAAGATAAAAGGAGTGAACATCTATGTGCTACTATTGGAGGTTCACTGCAGGAGCCATAATCCTCCTGAGCTCCCAAATCATGTGAGGGAATATTATTTCTCCTTTTAAACAGCCTATTATTAATGCAAAGTAATTGCTGGGAGCTTAAGCGCTAGTGCAACCTGCAAAACTAAAATGGAAAATGATTTGCTTCCATCCCCACACCGTCCTGTGGTCTGAAACCAAAGCCACCCGGTCTGTAGGCGCCGGTGCGACGGGGGACATCAGCCAGCCGGCAGCCAGCACGGCGCTGGGCATCCACGGCCTTTCCAGCGAAATTTTAGGCAGAGGTGGAACGCAAGGGGGAAGCTCAGCACCAAAAATGTGAACCGAGGTTGTGCTTCTTGCAAACTCTAAGAGTCATTTTCATTTTTCTTAAATCAGCTAGGGTAGCCCCCATCCATGATAAGTTGTTATGGGGTAGGTTTTATTTGCATTTTTATTTTCAATTAGGCTCAGTTCATCTGTGATATAACTGTGAGCAGCTGTGACTGTGCAGCAGCCATAAAGATAAAAGGCCTGATTTTAATTTGAACTCTGGTAAAGCACCCATTAAACAGGCAAAATGTTAATTAAAAAAAAAAAAAAGAGAGAGAATATAAGAGACTTTTATGGGCGCTCTTTTTCTGTAGTAAATTAACATTGCAGACTTTCAAACAGATGTCTTAAATACACATTGTTATTAACATGAAAATGTGGTATTACATAAATTAAAATCAGGTCCAGAGGTGTTTGAGGAGACCTTTTCTCATAACATTTCCTAATTGAAAAGGCCAAGCTCTGAGCGCACGGGGAGAGTTCTCCCACGTGTTGGGGCTGCAGCTGATGCAGGGCTCCGCAGCACTTGTATTTACCTGGTGGTGCCTGTGTGAGAAAGCAAGCGCCTGGATTATTTACAGTATTTTCTAGCGAGGTGAGGGCGAGAGGGCTATTGTTTACAGTGTATTGAGCACCCTGCCTTGTGACCTGCTGCTACCTTTTCCTTCATGCCTATACTCTGACTGCATAAAAAATTCCAATGAGGATTTATCAGCCTACATATGAAATGGATTTATATTTAGAAGTGAGACATTTTGTGAGCTTAATTTGCCAGGAGGCAGCAGAATTGTGCAACTGGAGTAAGACATAAGAGTGTATATAAAATGGATTAATTTTCAATTTCACATTCTTTGAGTGAAGCCAAGCTGTGCAGTGGAGAGGTGCAGGAGATAGTGTGGATCCAGGGTGCTGACAGTAACTTTCCTGAGCAGATCCCAAGATCTTTTCTGTTGGGCCTTCAACCCCTGTTTTTATACCAGTAATGATTTCCATTCTGGGAACTTCTTTAGGACAGCTGGGCTACAGTTTGGGCAGACCATGTGGTAGATGAAACTTGAAGACTGCAAGGCTTTCCAAAATGTCATGTTTTAATGTTAACAGATGTAGGTGTCTAAGTAGCTTCCTGATCCTGGAGAACACGGAGACTGCTAGGGAGCATTCACTCTCTTCCAAACACTTCTGTCCTTCCAGAATGCAGGTCGGACCAATATGGCCCTGACTGCTCCCTGCGATGCCAGTGTGCCAGCAAATCCCAGTGCAATCCGTACAACGGGAACTGCGTATGCCAAGCCCCGTGGATGGGGCCAACCTGCAAAGAAGGTAACACAAGATGGAGATGCGCAGCCTTTCTTAGTCGAAGAAATCATACATTGACCATGGTGGTGATCAGTGGATTGTTGGACAGGAGTACCAACCCACCAGGCAAACATGGTGCTCAGCAGCAGCCACCACAGTTTCTGTGTTGGGCTGTGTGAGGCAGAAACCGTTCTGCGTTTCCATCTCTGGTGAAAAACTCAGAGCCTGCGATAGCAGCAGCTTTGCTTGGAAGGGTTGTGTTGGTGTGTGCTGTCCTCCTAAGGGTCCAGGCACCTGATGGTGCAAATCACAGAATCAGTTTGGGTGGAAGAGACCTTCGGGATCATCGAGTCCAACCTTTGCCCTGACACCCCCACATCAACCAGACCATGGCACTAAGTGCCACGTCTAGGCTTTTCTTAAACACCTTCAGGGATGGTGACTCCACCACCTCCCTGGGCACCCCATGCCAACCCCTAATGACCCTTCCTGTGAAGAAATGCCTCCTCATTTCTAGCCTGAACTTCCCCTGGAGCAGTTTGAGACTATGCCAGCAGACACTGCAAATGCCAGGAGTCGTTCCAGGTGGTTGTGAGGTCTTGGCCAAGCTGAACTGACTCGATGCAGAGTTTTCCCCTCAGAGCAGACTGTGGAGATCCTGCACAGCCTGTTCAAGGATTCCCGGGGCTGCCTCCAGCACAGCTGTGCCGGAGAGCAGTGCGGTCTTCTATGCCTGCCAGTATGAAATCTTGCCCTGAAATAGTTGATATCCACAGCCTCTGTAAGATGAATGAGGTTTACTTGTTGTGCGTGCCATCACATTTGTTTACTTTTTGTAGCAGTGGTAGGTTTTGAAGAGCGTGATGAGAAGTGATAGGCCAGATAAGCAGATAAAACATTGGAAAATAGATTTGGTTAGATTTGTGAGTGTGCTAAAGCACTCATCGCACTATCACAAAAGAGTTTGGGACTTTGAGGGGTTTTTTAATTTAAAAAATTTCTCTTCTTAATGAGATACAGCACTGAGAGAAAGTTTCCTCCCATTTGTAGTCTAATCACAAGTGGCTTGATGGTGACACCACACAAATCTGCATTTAGTTTAGGAAACACTTTGGGAACCTCCTGTTTGAGAGATGTTTTATTGTTTCACCGGCTCTCTGCCTCTGTGAGGAGGCAAGTGTAACTCAGTCCTCTGCCTTCTTTTGAAGAGTACAATTTATTGAATTATTTAAGTGTAAATTGTATAATCTATATAATATTTCAGTATTACATTATATAGACCTGAAACCGTGCTTCTACTTAATTCTCTAGGTGGCCCTCCAAAGCTTCCTTTTTATGAAGAGCAAACTCAAGAAAGAGGGAATATTTTTCCACGAGCTCTACAACAGTAACATTTGGACTAATAAATGAACTGTTTTATATGCACAGACGGTATTTGAATTTGGATATGAAAACAGCTATTCAATTCAGCTTGAATTGTACTGAAGTATTCACACTTCTTATGGAAGACTACAGAGGCCATTTAGTAGCTGGATCCTTTTAAAAAGTTGAATCTGTTTCATGTATTTATTCCTAGCCTCTTACCCCTCCATTAATCTGCTCTGGACATTCTTTCTGTTGTATAATATAATTAATTGTTTGAAAGCCTGGACATGTTTTTAATAAGACCAACTCCAAAGAGTATCAGGTTAAGCAGTATGTAACGTATCAACGTGCAATGAGCCATACCACGTATAAGTGACTTTCTGAACCCGCTTGACAACCAGCGTGAAGTTTAATGAGCGTTTCACAGATTATGAGCCAACATGGATTCACTGCAAAATCATATTGCACAGAAACCAGTGGGATTCACCAAATTAATTCCTCTTTGAATAACGTTGTGTGTTCTAGAAGAGCATTCAGTCTAATTTTAAGCTTGCAACTGAAGAAGAATCCACCACAGTCCTGGATGAGTTGTTAGTTACTTTATGTACCACATTTCTAGGGTGGATTGGCTGATTGGAAGGTCTCCATCTATATCTTGCTTACGTCTGAATCCATCTTCCAAAGAGCATGGTGTCATCTGTCAGACTCTTCTGGCTTTCTGCATTCTCCCATCTTGTCAGTTGAGTTTCTCAGTCATTTGTCAAGTCAAACTGTGCACCAGTTCTCATCAAACAGTACCTTCTAATGCAGAAGAGAGTTTTATCTTGGATGGAGACAGCAGATAGTAAGCAAGGATAGATGTTTAAAGATAATCTTTGTCTTCGTTATATAAAGGATTACAATGTGCTTTTAGTGCACAATAGTTCGATTAAGTCAGCTTTAAAAAGTCCTGATACAATTCAACAGCTGCTGTTGGTTGCTTAATAGGACAAAGACATTTTGGTGCTATTTTGTCTGTTTAGACAGGTTGTTCTTTAATATAGGACTATGTCATTATACAGAAATAATGTTCTCTGTTTTAAGATTCTGAGTTAACCAGCCTAAAAGATTTCAGAGTGCCTCTTTATACCTCTCTTTAGGTTAGGAGTTACAAAATCTGTGTAGTAACCTCTTGAGTCTGACAATATCAAAAGTGCACTTATTAAAGGGACCATGGGCTTAGTAGACAGGGTAGTCCTGGCAGTTCCGGGTCGTGTGCCCACGCTACCATTCACACACCGTAATAAACTGCAACCTCTGCAAGGGAAGATTTTTCTCTTAGAAGCGACAGTGACAATAATTGATGCTAACTTGTGATTTTTAAAGGTGTTGTTTGTTGCTGAGGTTCGATAACGAGTAGGTGAAGTAACGGTTTTACCCCATGGTTCACCTCAGGTCTTAAACGCATCTGCAGTCGTTAACTGTTCAGTACAGAGCAAGCGACACTTGCTCACCTGGGAGTTTAATTCAAACTGTGATATATTGGAAGCAGTACAGGTTTGGTAGGTATTGTTCAAGCTTCGTGGAAGTCTTATTGTTGTTATTCATCACTTCGTAGGTATTGAAAGTCATCTTGAACACAGTAAAGATACTTGTGAATGTGTCAAAATTCATTAACCGACTGTGCTTTCAGCCAGAAAAGTCACAGGGACTGATGCTAATCCCTTGTCGGTTCTTCTTGAATGTCGCTGGAAAGTTTACTGAGTGTAAATGTGACAAAATTGTTGTTGTCCCAAAACTAGTCAGAAGTATGTGGCTCTCAGCAGGGCTTTGCTGTCAGCTGTGACATTTTAAATGTTCTTTTGGAGATGTGACAGCCTGGGTCTGATCCTACAATTATGTGAATTTCGGGCAATTTCACTGAACTGGAGCTGGTAAGGTAAATCTCGTGTGAGACAATTAGATATAGTCCTAGCAACTGCTGGGGAATAACGATCCAAGTTAAGCAGTTGACGTATTTTGATCTTAACTGTGTATTTACCACAGAACCAAACTACAACAGTAATGCAAGCATCGCATTATAGTCAAGATTTTTCGTAGAATCATAGAGTAAGTTGAGTTGTAAGAGATCTCTGGAGGTCCAGGGTTCTCTTCAAAGCCTAGTCAACTTCTAAGTTAAATGGGGTTGCTTGGAGATTCGTCCAGTTGAGTTCTGAATGTCTCCATGGATGGAGATCCCGCCACTTCTTTGAGTCCCTATCCCAGTGAAAATTTCATACTCACAATTTTTTTTTTCCTGGTTTCAAATCAGAATTTCTTAAGTTTCAACTTTGATCCGCTGCTTCTCATCCCTTCAGTGTGCATCTCTCAGAAGTGTTTGCCTTCATCTCGTCTACAGCCCCCATGGGGTAGTTGAAGACAGCAGTAATACCTCCCCTTGGTCTTCTGTTCTGAAGACTGAGCAAACCCTTCTCCCTCAGACCCAACTGTATCAGCCCCAGTTACCCCCATGACCCTCCACGGGCCCCATTCTAGTACGTCGCACATTTCAGTTTAGGGAAGGATGCCCGATGACTGGTGTGGTTACTCAGCAGCTATGCATAAAACCCAAGAACTTACAGTTTGCTGTTTGATTGTAGTTTGTAAAATGTACTGGTTTTTTCTTATCTATGTAGACTGATATGTGATTAGAGCAGCTAACCAAAGGGGAAATCTTTCTTGAGCCATATTATTTACGCCTGTGTATGCTTGTTTACATTTTCCACAGTACCTTGATAATAGAATTGTATATATGTAGTATAAAGGAAATAAAAGAATTTTGTATTAAGTGTTTCTAGAGACTGTCACAATTTTAGGTATATGATGAAACACGTATTTTAAGTGACTGATACTGAACCTGTGCCAATTAGAGGCCCAAATAGATCTGCCTGGGAAATATTTCAGCAAACTTTTTTTTAAATCCAAAAATGTCAATTCATACAAAGCCAGTCATATGCAATAGTCTGTTTTATTCACTCCTCCTTCAAAATACTGCTTTATGTTGTTGCCTTGAGGAAAGAAGTTCACTTCAGTGCCATTAAACAGATCATTCTGATTTGGGGCTCAATGTGACTTTTTGTTCCAAAACCAAGTACAATCATACAAAGGTAAAAATCAAATTAAATAGTTCAAAACTATTAAAAGATGAATTTTGATAGGGGTAGTTTATAATGTCTTTTCTTGGTTGTCTATTTGTGAAGGTTTTAACTTTTTTCACAAGGCAGGGAAAAATGTTTACAGGATGTTGTTTTCTACAAGAAGAGCCAAAACTTTACATCATTAGCTCTTAATTCAGGAAGTTTACTTGCTTGTGGTGGCTTTAATATGTTTTGATTCTGCATCTTACTGCAGATTAACAAATCTACCTGACTCTGTGCCTACAAAATAGACTTTGTTAGACAGCATGGACTTTTTTAATGGAAAAACTACTAAATCAGCTTTTCCATAGATTAACTTTGTGGCAAGTGAGTGTAATTGCTACTAAAATAATATAACTCTGCTTATTTGCTTCATCAGATTCCAGTGAAAGATTGTCAGGCTGATACTGTCCTGAACATAGCACTGGAGCTTGTTGAACATGAAAGTGAAAACTTCAGTGAAAATGGGTTTTATATTTAAATTTATGTCCATCTTCCACTTGGTAAATGCCTTTCTTGGCTCTCCATTTCCCAGAAGGCTGAAGTTAATTACGCTTTCTTGAAAAGATCGCTCTGTGTATTCCACTGTAACACACTTGCATGCACAGATAACTCCTTTCAGAAAGACATTTAAATTATTTCGACCGTGCAGTTTCTGTGCCAAATCCCACTCTCTTACCTTGTTGTGTATTCCAGATAACTTCAGTCTGAGAAGAGTGGAAATGAGTTGAGTGTAACTCAGTGGGTCCAGCAGAATCTTACTCAACGTGAATTCATGAAACCAGAACATGTTTTAAGTTAGACTTCAGTATTTATAACACTATCCTCATAGGAAAACAATCAGAATTTTAAAAATTCCCCGCTTCCCCTGCCAAAAATTATTATTCTACTTTTATCCTTTTTATGTTGAAGAACCATAGCTATTAAAGTTTGCCCAGATTTCTTGCCAAGCATATTATTTTGATTGGCTGCAGATTTCTGTTTGTGTAAGTAATAACCATCACAATATCAGGAGTTGCCAATGGGACAAACATGGAAATTATACCTTTATGTCCTTCCCAGAAGAGCCAGAGACACATTTTGGAGCCATCGTGGCTTCATACTGTTGGTCTAACAGTGACAAATAATGTTTCTGTTAGAGTTTCGCTTCTTATCAGAGCAAAGAAAAGCTTAGGACGAGTCCTTGAGAGAACTGATGGACCAAGAAACTCCATCCTCCTATCCTTGTGTTAAATTTTTTTTTATAGTTAGGCTAGAAACCTTCTCGGTCCCCAGTTCTTGAAGGACTTTTCCTGCATGTTGACCTGTGGCTGACTGCAGCAGCTCCATGCACAAGTTGTGGCTGTGCCCTTAATTCTTTTGCGGGGTTAAAGCTTTAAATTCTAACACTGTGTAAAGTAATTTCCAGCAGTAAACACCAAATCTCAGACTTGTAGAGCATAAATTGTTTATTCTGTTCTTTTTATTGCTTTTAATAAGCAGTTGTATAGCAATATTATGTCTTTGTGAATTTGTAACCCCTCCTCAAAGAATACGTGGGATGTATCTCACGACTGTACTGTACTTTCTGTTGTACACGTATCATAGTGAAAGGATGCTGATTTTTTTGTATAAACCTGTCATTAAAACTTGTTTTCTCCTTATTGATAGTCTTGAAGCAATAGGCTTATGTTGTGGGTGAAACTTTAGTCTGTTAAACTAATCCACATTCAGAGCAAATGCACTGAAATCACACCTACTTTTAGTAGTTTGTATAGAATAAATAATGGCCTATACATAAATGGGTTTATATATGATCCCTGACCAGAGCAAGTTGTCCAGTGACCAAGTCTGATAAATAGAGTTTTCTGGCACTCAGACTCCAGAGTATTAGAAATATTCAAAACACAGCATAAATCTTGCTGGAAGAGGATGGTTATGAAGTGTAACGTTTCTGGAAGACTTGGGCATAAAGCACTTTGAAGGCATTTGAAACCGCACACCTGCGGGCTTCCATCAGCCTTCTTGGACACTTCCCAGAGCCCAATACTCGCTGAACAAATAGCCTGGTTCACCTTAAGGGTATTGTCTTCTCACACTGGCAGGAGCTAAAGGAACTAAAGGAACACATGGGCCTGCTTAATGCCAAATAATGCA